ACCCCCAACCCTACAGATAAAAATACAGTTCTGGGTTTGCATATTTACATGGTTACAGAATCACTCACAGACGTGTTTGAGAATCAGGTTGATTATTACAAAACCCAGTGGGTTATTCATTCCTGCACCTGCTTCTGTAGCAAGCACATTCTCCCTTGAATCAGCACTGATCCACCTGGCTGATGAACACGAAGTACCGTGAAATATTTGGCAGGGAAGAGGAATTACTCATGAAGACTGGCTTTGACAGCACTTTCAGACCCTGCTACTCCCTGTCTGCTCCAAAGTGGCCAAAAGAGATAACGTGACTCAGGCACTGGGCAGGCCTTCCTGCCTATCCAAAATAACATCTTAGTCCATGGCCTAAGGGAAAGCAAGAAGAAAAAGGATTTTTCTTCTTTTCCCTTAAGAAAAGGAGAAGAAGAAAAAAGGCTGCTAAATGATCCAAGTATCATGCACTCCTGCAACCTCAGCTGGAAAACTGCACCTCCACGAGTCAAGGAGTTGGTAAACAGAAGAAAATTCATAAAGGTGCTCTGAGAGTGAAAAAAGATTTAAGTAAGAAACTTTCCAGTGGAGCAACTTGGTCCTTTTAAGCCCAGCAAAGGGAGGGGGCTCCTGCTCCCAGTCTGTGTGCCTGAGTACGAACCCAGGCTTGCAGACAAGGCTATAATGAGATCCAGGGCTTGGGAGCTGAATCCAGACAAATTCAGGCTATAAAACAAGACACATATTTTTAACAGTGAGGGTAATTAACCAGCACAGCAACCCAGTGAGGCATTATGGCAAAGTCTCCTTCTTTGGAAATCTTTAAATCAAACTCAGATGTGTTTTCTGGGAGCTGCTGTACTCCAGGCAGGAAGGAGCCTGGTGCTGGGTGTCAGGCAGGAAGGTGGCCTGGAGGACCCAGCTGGCAGGACAAACCAGCAACTCCAGTTATTCCTCTGGAACCAAGCAGATCCTCCAGGGAGAATCAAGAGAAAACTCTGCCTTCAGAACTGGGAGCTGCTGGAACAGAGAGAGTGGGAAGGTCCAGCAAAGCATACAGGGAGAGGCACTGACTTATTTTCTGTCAGCTGATAGAGTTTGGTCAGCCCTCACGAGCTCGTCCAGAGCTTTTCCCAGCTCTATCTGCTCATCTCAGAGTGTTTTATCTCCTGCCAAAGCCAGCTTCAGTTGTCCTGCAAGGTGATTGAAGGAGTAGGCACACAAAAATAAAGCATGATTTTTAAAATCAGTCCATTTTTGTAGAAGTTTATTTTTAGAAGTAACCCTGGTAACATCACAGGATGATTTTTATATATGAGCATTACAACTGAAATATTTGGACAATCAATAGCCAAGGTTTCATCCAATCAAGTGACCAATAACAACATAGATAAATTAGTCATCCCCTTACCAGATTAAGGCCTTGTTTCCCCAAAACACAAAAACATGCACAAAAAGCATAATTACATGAGCTTCATCTTCTGAATATTCTAAATGAAATGCTAACAGACCTCAGGGTCACTCAAAGCAGAAAACACATCTTCCCAGCCCATGCCAAATGTGCCTCATTGCCAGTTGGTTGCTTTCCAAATAGTGTAATATCAAAAATACAGAAAAGCTCTAAGAATCTTCCCAAAATGTTGGCAGTAATTACTTCTGAAGTATGTCCCAATCCCTACATTGAGTAAAATATCTAAATAAAAGATTGTATTTACAAGCATGTGTATTCAACATTAATGTATTTCCAGATGTACTTGTATACTTACAGCAAGGTAATTTTCCTAGAATCCTCTCTAGGCTTACCCATATTTTTCTAATATGTCCCATATTTGTGGATATAGAGGAATTACAGGAAAACAGAACACAGAAATGCATGTATTGGGGGAAAAAACACAAACCTTTGCAATGTATGTTTCTCATCACACAAAAATCCCCAGGCATGTAAATAAGTGAAAAAATAATCCAACTGAAAACAAAAAATCCTTGTGCTGTGAAAGAGGCAGGTACTAAATTGCCACTGATAATCAGCCATGAGCCTTGCAGAGGAGCAGGAGAACCTGGAGAAACGCTGCTCTCTTTGTGACAGGAAATGGAACATTAAAATCTGGGAAAAGCCAAGTGGTTTTGCTGCTTCCAGGAGATGTGGCACTCGATTCCTTCAAACACCCCCCTTTTTGCAGTACTCCAGTGTTTTGGAGGAGCACACGAACCAACAAACCCATCCCACACCTTGTTTCCTTTCTTCAAGGAAGAGAAGATCCTCACACGCACAGGAATGTTTATTTTGGCAGGGTTTGTTTTACTAATTATTTATGTTTGAAATTATGGGATTTCTACCTTGCAAAAACCAAACTAAACCAAACCAACCAAACAAACCCAAAAACCCAACCACAACCAAAATCCAACTGCTTTCCCTTCCCAGACTCCAGTGTTCACACCTCACAATGCCCAGGAGCCCTTTGGATTGTTTAGGTACCTAACATTAGGGACATTCTTTCCAGGACCTGAAGGAAACCTGCAAGAGGGGTGGAGAGGGGCTGGGGACAAGGGCCTGGAGGGACAGGACAAGGGGAATGACTTCCTATTGCCAGAGGGAAGGTTTAGGTTGGATTCTGAGAAGAAATCCTTCTCTGTGCACAGGTTTCCCAGAGAAGCTGTGGCTGCCCCTGGACCCCTGGAAGTGCCAAAGGCCAGGCTGGATGGGGCTTGGAACAGCCTGGGATGGTGGAAGGTGTCCCTGCCCGTGGCAGGAATGGGAGTGGATAGGCTTTAAAGGTCCTTTCCCACCCAGGCCATTCTACAATTTGGCTGGAGTTTGATACGGTTTAATTCAGTCCCGAATCACAAAAATGATCATCCTCTGCAAGAATCCTTCTGCACACAAAGTAGAAAACAATCTGCTTAGCGGCCATGGTGCAGTCTGTGTGTGTGTGGGTGTGTTTATATATATATATATACATGTGTGTGTGTGTGTATAATGATGTTTTTACTAAGAAAATGAAACAGGTTTTTGTGTTCTCACACTTGGTTTTCTGGCTGAAAAGAACGCCGGCTGGGGAATTTTGGATGCAGGCAGGGCTGACTGCTTTTGTTGAGAGCAAAGCAAAAGGTCTGAAAGTGAATTCTGAAAATAAACCAGGGATAAAAACTGGTGTTGGGGAAATGGCTGTGGGCAGCGGCAGGTGAAAGGGACGGGAGGTCACAGGGGCAGTGACTGTGGGCACAGTGCATTGACACCTCAGCAAACCCCTGATCAAAGGCTTATTCAAGGAGCAGCCCAGACAAAGCATTTAAGTTCCTTCCCTGATTTCCATGGGCCCTGTGATCTGCACAGGATCGCACTGCCAGCCTGGGGGAACAGCCCAGGGAGCTGCTGCCACTTTCCATCCTCCTCGCACAGCCTCTCACATGCGACTTCAGAGCTCCATCCCTTCCCCTCCGGAGGAGATGGGTTCAGGAGAATGGTCCTGACGTTTGGCAAAGTTTTACCAGGATAGAAAGGTTCTCATTGGGGTGGCTTGTCACAAGTGGGCTGTGCTGGAGAACAGAACAACACAGACTCCATGGAGGATATAAACACTATAACTTGGGGAGGAAGGGCAAGTAGAAGTACAAAAAAAAAAAACAACCCAGAGATGATAAAGCCTTTTTCGGTGGAAAATAATCTTTGGACCAGACCTCAACATCTCAGAGCAAAGTGCTGGAAACTGCCTTTAGATGATTCTTGCTTTAAAAACAAACAACCCCCCGCCAACACCCAGGAATTTTGTTTGATGACAGGGACACGTCAGATCCTTAGTACTGAGCATGGAAACAGAGTTCTTTTGTGAAGCGACAAGTTCCTGGACTTTGTTCTTGAATCTGCGCCCCTCATGCGCTACGAGATCAAAGTGATTTTTTATCCTGTGAATTCGCACTGGCCCAAGATGTTTGCTGCCACTCCTCACACACAGTTTCAGGGAGAGCAAGTTGCGTTTCCCCGCTTTCCCCCTCTTAGCGCGGACATCAGGGCCATCTCCTGGCCGCTGCAGGCACCGGCGGAGCAGCAGTAAATGAAAAAAAAAAAAACAGCTTTGAAATCTAAGGTGTGAAGCCTGTCAGGAATTATTTGCTGCCCAATACCCGGGAAGATTAATGGAAGCCACAAGTTTGGATTTGATCAGTGCTTCTCCAGAGTACCAAGGAAAACTCTTATCCACTTTGACCTAAGGATTGTGTCTTGCACAGCATTTCTTTCTCCTGCCTCAAATACAATCCAACTAGATTTTTTTTTTAACAAGCGTATTGCAAATCCAAAAATGCTTACAAGTTAATTAGTGACACATTCCTTGTCAGGTTTAACTACTTGGTGTTTACATCCCATAGAAAAGCACTGATAGGACCCAGAATTTTACTGTACCCAGTGCCCCAATTTTATTGTACTCACCGAACTGCCCTAAACCCCTTCTTCTGAACCGAGTCCAGCCGAACCGAGCCGGGTTCAACCGAACCGAGCCGAGCCGAGCCGAACCGAGCTCAGCCGAACTGAAATTCTGCTGCTGCTGAATTCCAGCACACGGGCAAGAACAGCAGCAAAAGCTCCAAGTGAGGTTAATTTACCCCTTGGAAGGGACCAACATCACAAAAGGCAAGGACACGGACAGTAGGTAGGTAATATTATTAATTGTTTTCTTCCACCGCTCCTTGGGGGCTTGCTTTAAAAAAACATTACTGACACCTTGGACGTGTCCCACAGCATTCCCAAACTTCAAACCTCTGGGATTGAACAGTGATTCCAAAACATTCCGGTGGCAAGCAATCCGTCCCGGGAGCTGCTCTGGGTGCTCTCGTGGCCGTTAATTAGCGCGAGTGCTGTCGCTGCCTAATGAACTCCTGCCCGCCCCCGCTCTCCCGTTCCTGTCCGTGCGGTGGCCGGGCCGCCCGTGGGACGCGGCAGCAGGAAAACCCCGAGCTGGGCGCCTTTAACGTGAGNGGCGGGCAGTTCCGGGGCGCTCCCGGGACGGTTCCCGGCGTCACTGCCGCTTCCTCGGCGGGCGATTCGAAGGCGATGTCGGAGGCCGCTGCCGGTCCCTCGTCGGGCAGGCGAGACACGATGGAGCTGTGCCCGGAGCTGAAGAACTCGCTGTCGCTGCTGGAGCCGGGCGGCGGCCGGCCCGAGCAGCAGCAGCGAGAGCGGCGGGCGGGCGCGGCCTTCATGCCCATGGTGTTCATGTGCTCCGGCTGCAGGCGGCCTGTGGGCGACACCTCGAGCTGGGTTGTCAATGACGAGGAGAGCGGCTGCATCCTGCTGCGCAGTGAGTGCCAGCCCTGCTACCCCGGCGCGTCCCCGCGGTCACTGCCGCCATCCCTCCCTCCTTCCCTCCCGCTGCAGGTGCGGCCGGCAGCGTGGCCGTGGACCCGGGGCGGAAGGTCTCCAAGCTCCCCGGCGAGAGTGGATGGTGAGCGCCGGTGCTGGCTGGGCACAGTCCCGGGGGAGTTGGGGGTTCCCGGGAAAGGCGCTGAGGATAAGGCCGGTGAAGGGCCCGGAGTACTCGTGTGCCCCCGAGAGCGCCTGGAACAGTTCTTTGGGGTGGTCTATGCAAGCGGCTTACAGCCTAAGGGAGAGGGATTTCTCACAAGGACATGTGATGGACGAGGGGAATGGCCTTAGGATGAAGGAAGGAGGGTTGAGGTGAAATATCAGGAAGAAATCCTTCCCTGTGAGGGTGCAGAGGCCCTGGCACAGGTTGCCCAGAGAATCTGTGGCCGCCCGTGGATCTCTGGAAGTGTCCAAGGCTGGGTTGAACAGGGTTTGGAGCAGCCTGGGACAGTGGGAGGTGTTCCTGCCCATGGCAGAGGGTGGAATGGGATGAGCTTTAAGGTCCCTTCCCCAGTTTAGTGATTCTGATGCTCTTGCTGAGGTCAGTCAGCCTGAGGGGCTGTTGCAAACTCAGGCTGAAAGATGAGTACTCATAATTCACACTGCGCAAAGCAAGAAGGTATGCTTAAAAAAATTCTAATGCATGATTATTTTTAGAAAATGGATGGAGAAAGGTGCTTCCTTTTATTTTCTTCTGAAGAAATGTTATTTCTTACTTACAGCGTGGTAGAAACCTTATTCTGCTCTGGCTGCTCAAGAACACTTGGCAGAATCTACAGGTGCACCCCAAGGCATCTCGACTACAAGAGAGATTTGTTCTGTTTCAGTATTGACTCTATTGAAAGGTAAATGCAGAATATTTATGAGTCAGTCTGCCAGCTCCACTTCACCCACCAGGCATCGCACTCAGGCTGCTCCTGTTATATCTCTGGCAAGTCTAGAGGTAGTTTTTTTCCTCTGCTCTGTCCCAGAGTGGTTTTCTGTTCTGCTGCTGTTGTTATCATAGTGCTCAGTTGTGAAGAAAATCACCTGTGTAAGGAAAATCCTAGGAAAAAAAAAAAGCAAAGCAAAACAAAACAACCAGGCCTGCCTTTTGTGTGAGAAATTGCATTCCAGCCAAGGAAATATCACCAGGTCCAGGGTACAGGAGGATTCCTTCTCATTTGATCGGAAGAGCAGAGAAACCAAGCTCCAAGTAGGCCTGCCTGGAGCCTGTTAGGAGTCAGCATTATCAGCAGGAAGCGTGGCCAGAGTGGCTCAGGCAGAACTCGGGGTGGCTCTGACCTGTACTGGCCACATCTGCTCTGTCTTTGCTAAGGTGGGCAAAGGCAAATCTGACAACTGAGTCTGTGCTTGAGACTCTCACTCAGCTGTCTTAAAATCTGTCTAGAAAATGAAAGCATGCTTGGGTTTAGTTGGTTTATAGTACTTAAAAGTGGTCTTAAAGTATTCTTCAATAGCTATATCCTGAATTAAGGCTTCATGCCAGAGTTCTTTTATGCAAGCATTGTTCTAATAGACAGCGACTGTTCATCTGGACTAGTTTTAATGTCTTTTTTTTAATGTCTTCTGGTTTTTTTTTGAAGTTCCCATTAATTTTGTTGTATTGCTGTGAATGTTCACCCTCGCACTCTGGACAGTGGTTTTGGGGTTTTTTTCTTCATTACACAGCTATGATACTTTCTTTTTTCCATGGTAGTAAAATCCTCTAAAGCACTAACCTGGCTGCAGCCTATAGCACTTTCTTGGAGAGTAATGCTGCTTCTCCCAGCCAGCACTGCAGTGTTCCCTGTGCAATTTTTCACTGTATTCTGTAGCCCCAGAATCCATTGGTGTCTCTCAGGGTTCTGGAGGAGTGCCGTGTTTGGATTTTTAGCTTCAGAGTGGCAAGTGCATGATCTAAACTGTGGCATCTCGGCTATATTCTATATATTCTGTAGCTATATTCTATATATATTCTATAGCTATATTCTAGGAAACCTGGAGAAGGAAGCTGATCTTCACGAGGAACCGCTTACTCTTGAAAGTCGAGCTGTCTTGCAAGAGGTGCTGCAGAAGGTGAGATATAACCTTATATCATTCTTTGTTTAAATTGCCTCTGTGAAATCTTAATATGCTTCAATAGTTTCTGCAGAACAACTTATTTCACCCAGAGCAATTCAGTGCATTGTAACATGTCATGGACTGCGTCATGTCACTGGTGTCTTGTGTTATGCAAGATTTTCAGTAACTTTTCCTTCAGTTTCCATGGTAATTAGCATTTTCTGTTTATCAAGCACAGCATTAGGTTCCTATTTATGTCTCAGTAATTTGATATATTGTTTCTAGCTAGTTCTCATTCACTTCTCCAGATCTTCAGTTCACTTTTAGTCATGTTTCTTCTGCCTTTTGTGCAAATGGACTTAATGCTTTTGCTGTAACTTTGTCTTGAAATACTACATCATAAACCAAGTTGATGTTTTGCTCTCCTAAAATCTTGTGACTGCAGGTAGGAAGAGTTGGGAACAAATAGGGGCAGAAGTTGACTGTGGAAGCTGAAGGTTGTCTAACAAAAGTTGAGTGTTTGGCTTTGACGCTTACCAAGGCTGGCAAAAGTTACTGTGTGGACACAGTGAATGTTAGAGTTGTGTCAGCTTTAAAAGGATGGAAGTAGCAGAGAAAGAATCATATGAAAAGAATTGGTGATGTGAGATCGGATTTGAGCCCTTTCTGATATGCACACATGCTCTTTGTGTTTTCAAATTCTGTGTGTAACCAAGTACCTTTCCCTGGTTCTTTTGCAGGTCGATACAATACTGAATGCCCTGGAGACAAGACTGACCGTGATTGAGTCCTGTGTGGCTACTCTGCACAGGCAGGTCTGAGAGGAAATACGTCTTGAACTGTAGGAGAATGGCAAATGTGAAACTTGGCCCTGTAATCCTCTGGGATCTGTGGGAACATTGCAAAGGCTGTGAGAGAGATGAAAGCCATGGGTGGCCTGTCCTGTGGGGGAGCAGTGCTGACTGAGACTGTGTCCCAGCCAAGAAGTTCCTCTTCTATCCTTGAAGATGATACACCAGGGGTTTTCTTTGTAATAAAGACTTCTGATCAGTCAGCCTGTAGACTTGTGGTTTATTTAAATTTTTGTCTCTGAAAGCAAAGCGTTTATCTCCTGACTTCCCTGCTATTCAGTATCTACTGAAATGGGTATGCATTTTCCTAAGCAAATCAAAAACCTCCCTGTGATTCTGTAATTTCCAAAAGAACAGCATGAAGTGACTTTTCTTTTTCTTGTCTTCATAGCTTTAGCTTGATTTGTGCTCAAAGGCAGGAATGACTCAATAAACTGTATGTGGTGAATTGTTAGTTTGGTGGGGGTTTGTTGCAAGTTCAGGGCTAAAATATGATGAAAATCTTTTTTTGCACCATTAGATAAATGCTTTTCCATGTGGTGTTGAAGGTAAGTTGTTTTACATCTCCAAAGGGAGGAAACCAAACCAGGCTGATGGTGGCATTCCTTTAAGCAAGGTTTGCTATATATTTGAGCAAGTAATTCAGCAGTTTTGTTGTGTTAATGCTGGTATTTGGGTTGTGTTTGGTTTTCTGGGCATTTGACTAATTGTCAGTGCTTCTCATACAGTATGAGTGTTCCACCTAGAGCAAGAGCAAGCAGTTGTGGTATAAAGCAAGAATAATTTCAAAAAGTGGTTTGGATTTTGTTTCTGGTTTTTTTTTTTCTTTGTTACCCATCACTACTTGGCTTTACAACTGTGAGCTTTAAAAAGTTTTCTCCAAAAACTGCGAATGAATTTCCCCATTCTATCCCATTGGTAGGCGCTGCTTCTCTTGGAAAAGCTTCTACCCTCCACCTTCACTGCCCTGTTTTGAAGTTGTGCTCCAGTTCAGCCTGTTGTGTTGGGTCTTACATCCTTTTCTGTTCAGCATTTTGTTACTGACAGACCTGCCAGAGGAGCTTCCATTACTGCAGTGTCATTTGTGGGGCAGTTTCTGCTCTAACAAGTTTTCAAATGCTGCTTAAGAGCAATAGACCTCATTCTGTATGTCTGAAGGTGAGAGAAGAGATGGTTGCATCCCAGAGCCTGATTTTGGAATGTTTTATGGAATTGGCTGAGTAGCTTTTACTTCTCAGGTTTCTGTAGTCTGTCCATGGCAGGTCCAGCCTGTGCTTCAACTTGGAGCCTCAGTCTGCAGGGAAATTAACCTTTGGGGAAGTTCTTACAGCTCTACTTAATGCTTTATGAATTATGCTGATTTTCTGGAAGTAGGCTGCCTATTCTTACCCATTTTCTTCTCTTTCCCTGAGGACTGTGCCTGCTGAAAGGCTGAGGTGAGACCAAGATCTCTGACTGTGTCTTCCTGAGGCTGAAGCCGTGTTTTCTGCCAATGATGACATAGTGGAAGATGCTAAAGACTGAAAACTTTGGGATTTTTGCCCTGAATGCCAAGACTCTCTCTGCAGCTGTGCCCTGTATATCTCTTAAAAGAGTTTCTGGGTTTAGAAAGGTTTTAACATGCTGCAATATTTATCTATAACTCAATTCAAAAGAATCCTACTGCATCAATATGGTGCTAATGACTTTGTTGGAGTTGGTTAATTAAAGCAAATCATTGATAGGGGGTTTGAACATCCCTTGGTTGGAGCAGGCAACTCTTATTTAATTTCTCCTCATTCCTTTAATTTCTTTCAATTGTTTCTTCACCAATCACAGGATTTTTCTTGAATTTTGTGGGATTTGGAGGAGACTTGAAGAATTTTGCGGGAATTTTCTTAGATTTTGTGGAAATGTGGGGAGATTTTGTGAGATGTCTGTAGAATTTTGTAATGTTTTGAGAAGATGTAGGGAATTTTGTTGGATTTTTCTGGAATATGGTGGGCCTTTTCAAGGACTTTGTGTGGTTTTGAGGAGACTTGAAGTATTTTGAGGAATTTTTCTTAGATTTTGTGGAAACTTGTGGAGGTTTTGTGTGACTTTTGTGGAATTTTGTGGGATATTGAGGCGATTTAGGGATCTTGAGGGATTTTTCATGTATTTTGTGGGAATTTGTGGAGATTTGGTGGGATTTTTTTTTAGAATTTGGTTGTGTTTTGAGAAGATATAGGGAATGTTGTGGGATTTTTCCTGGAATTTTGTTGGATTTTGAGGAGATTTTGTGGGATGTTTGTGGAATTTTGAGGGTCTTTTCTGGAATTTTGTGAGATTCCGCAGAGAATTGAGGAATTATCTGTGATTTTTCATGTATTTTGTAAGAATTTGTGGAGATTCTGTGGGATTTTTGTGGAATTTGGTAGAGTTTTAAAATGATTTAGGTCATTTTGTGAGATATTTCTGGAACTTGGTGGGGCTTTTCAAGAATTTTGTAGTATTTTGAAAAGATTTAGGGAATTTTGTGGTGTTTTTCTTGAATTTTGTGGGAAACTGTGCTGATTTTCTGGGGCGTTTCTGGAATTTGGTCAAGTTTTCAGAAGATTTAGGGATTTTTGTGGGATTTTTGTGGGATGTTCCGGGAATCGGTGGAGATTTTGTGGGACATTCCTGTGAATTGGTAGGGTTTTGAAATGATTTAGGGAATTTTGTGGGACTTGTCTGGAATTTTGTGGGGATTTTCACGGAATTTTGAGGATTTCTCTTGAATTTTGTGGGATTTGGAAGAGACTTGAAGAAGTTGGAGGGATTTTTCCTAAATGTTGTGTAAATTGCTGGAGATTTTGTGAGATGTTGCAGGAATTTGGTTGGGTTTTGAGAAGATTCAGGGAATTTTGTGGCATTTTTCTGGAATTTTGAGGGGCTTTCAAGAACTTTGTGAGAGTTTTCTTGAATTAAGTGGAAATTTGTTGAGATTTTGTGAGATGGTTCTGGAATTTTTGGGATATTGAAGAAATTCAGTGAATTTTGAGAGATTTTTCTTGAATTTTGTGGAAATTTGTTGAGATTTTGTGAGATGGTTCTGGAATTTGGTGGGATATTGAGGAAATTCAGTGAATTTGGAGGGATTTTTCTTGAATTTTGTGGAAATTGTTGGAGATTTTGTGGGATGTTGCAGGAATTTGGTAGGGTTTTGAGAAGGTTTAGGGAATTTTGTGGCATTTTTCTGCAATTTTGTGAGGCTTTTCCAGAATGTTTGGTGATATTGAGGTGATTTGGTGGGATGTTTCTGAAATTTTGTGGGATTTTTCTGGGATTTGTACGAGACTTGAAGAAGTTTGAGGGATTTTTCTTGAATTTTTTGGAAATTGGTGGAGATTTTGTGAGATGT